CTTCTCCTCCTCACACTGAACCGCCAATACCTCAGAGAACAACCGGAGAACAAATCCTTCCATCCCCACAACATTCCAAGGACATTGTGGAAAGGGATCACAACATCCCTTATCTTAATTTCCCTACCGAAGAGCTCCTTCTTCGAAACCTAACCACATCAATACTTCCCTAATTCTTTAGTTATTCCCATTGACAATAAATTCAATTTACTGAACATCGAAGCTTCTTTTGCTCCATTTCAAGAAGTTGATATGGAAGAAGTATCTTCTCAGATTATTGGTAAACCTCTACCAAAAAGGCAAAACCCAACTCCTTAAAATCCAAATGATTCCCCCACCCATTACCAGTTGGAATGTTAGAGGGTTTAACAGGCCGGAAAAAATTCTTACCTGCAAAAACCTTATCAATATTCACAAGTTAAAAATGTTTTGTGTTCTTGAAGCAAATATCCATTACTCCATGCTCGCTGACCCTTGATTTGTTAATTCTCATAAACTTTTTTAGAATTAAATTAGTTGTAACAATTTCGATGTTTCCTCCCCTGTTTGAATTTGGGTTAACTGTGATTTTTCTTATATTTCATTTTATCTAGTAGTCATTTGTTCCAAAATCATCCACATAAGACTTCTCTTAGATTCTTCCACCTCTTTCTTTATTTCTATTTTTATATGTTGCTAATTCGTCTGAAGATAGGAAATCTCTTTGGGCTCAAATTAGGGAGTTGGCAAATAATAATACCCAACCTTGGATTTTGGTTGGTGATTTTAACTGCTGTAGGTATGATCATGAAAAAGTGAGAGGTACTACCTTGCATTCTAGCAAGTTTGGGGATTTTAATAATACTATTTTTTATTTTGAATTTATAGACCTTGCTTTGGTTGGCTTGTTCTACACTTGGTTGAACCAGCATAAAGAAAATCCTATTCATATTAAGTTGGGTAGGGCCTTAGTAAACACTGAATGACTGGATCATTATCCTAAGTCTTACTATAGTGTGGATCCCCCTCAATGTTCTGATCACTCCCCTCTCATTATTCACTATGATACTATTCAACATAAACCTTCTAGGTTTCTTTTTAAGAATTTTTGGCCTAATCTTGTTGGTTTTAGATAAGTTTTGTTGGATGCTTTACAAAGTTGCCCCTCTACTAGTCTGATTGCTTCTCTTTACTTTAGCTTGCAAACTTTGAAAAGATTGTTGAAAATAAAAAAATGTAATTCTTCTAATTTTATTTCTAATACCATTGAAGATCTTAAAGCTAAGCAACTTTGCTATCTTTCGAAAATTGAGAAAAATCCATTAGATTGTTTAATTAATTCTAATTTAAAGGATATTAATGATTTGCTTTCCAATTATCAAGTTTCTTGGGCCTCTTGGTTGCAAAAATGGGCTAAAGTAAAATGGCTTTCAACTGGAGAAGAGGATGTGGGTTTCCTCAATGCCAAAATCAGAAATAGGAAAATATTAATACTTTAAAGGTTTTATCTATGCCTGAAGGTATTTTCTCTGATCATAAAGACATTGCTCAAGTTCTAATTAATCATTTTAGCAATCTTTTTAATACTCCTGCACCTCGTAATGCTAATTATCTGGATTATTCTACTGGAAATCTATTTTCTAATGAAGTTGCTAACTATCGGGTTGGTTCTTTTACTAATCAAGGCATCAAATATGTGGTTTTTTCTTTACCATTGGTTATTCTCCAAGTCCCAACAGGTTTACTGCTGATTTCTATAAAGATAATTGAGATATTGTGGGGATTAAAGTTTACGATGCTATTAAGAATTTTTAGAAGTTTTGGGCACTTCCCTGAAGGGGTTAAGGCTACTGCCATAACCTTAATTCCTAAACATTCTCATGCTGCTACTATTTTAGATTATAGACCAATTTCACTTTGCAATATTTTTAATAAGATTGTGGCCAAGCTCCTTGCTAATAGATTGAAAAAAGTTTTACCTTTTATTATCAATGAAAGCCGAGCTAGTTTTATTCAAAATCGCTATTCTAAGGATAACATTATCCTAGCTTCCAAAATCTTGAAGGATTTCAAGAATGCTTAGAACTTTTTCTGTGCTAAACTTGATATTATTAGAGCTTTTGACTCGGTATCTAGAGATTTTATTATTAATCATATGAGGATTATGGGTTTTCTTGAGAAGTTTCTAAGCTGGATCAAAGGTTGCATTTACAATGTTCATTTTTTCATTTGTTTAAATGGATCTCTCGAATGATTTTTTAAGTCCACTTCTAGGCTTAGACAAGGTTTCCCGTTATCTCCTCTTCTTTTTTGCATTGTGATGAATGCATTTTCTTGTAGGTTGCATAATAACCACCAAAATCATTTTAAGGGTATTCTCTCTAATGGAAAATAGTTTAAACACTTACTCTATGATGATGATGTTCTTATTTTTGGTGAGAAATCTATAAATAATGTTAGAAATCTTAAGTCTATTCTTGATGAATTTGCTGATGCTTCTACCCTTCGGATTAATCCAAACAAAAACTGCATTATTTTTTCTACTCAGTCAAATCAACAGGAGGATATCTGCTCTATATTGGGGATTGTTAATTCGGCTCAATATATCACCTATCTTGGATTGCCTATTTCTCTTAATAATCAGAATGCCTTTCACTTTCAACCTCTTTTGGATAAAATTTCTAGTCTTTTGGAAGGTTGGAAGGTTAAATTTTTATCACTTACAGGGAGAATTCAATTTCTCAAATTTTCTATTGCTAATACATTAGCTTATTGGATTAGGGGAGCTATCATACCAAAAACTTCTTGCAAAATCATTGAGAGAATGTGCTCCAAATTTTTGTTTCATGGTAAAACTAATGAAAGGAAGATGCATACTATTGCCTGGTCCACAGTTTGTTCTCCAAAAATCATGAGGGTCTTGGTTCACCTTCGATTAATGCTCTTTACCATAGTTTTATTTGTTCTCTTATTTGGAGAATTTTATTCCATGACAGTGGTTCAGCCTTATGGTATAGAGGAAAATTCTATTCTCCTTGGAAGCCTTATCCTATGGATGCTTCTAAGATGTGGAAGCTTATATGTGATATTGCTGGCAAGATTAAGAATAAAATTTCCTTACACATCTCTGCTAACAGTTTCTTATCTTTTTATTGGGACCCTTGGTGTAATGACAAAACAATTTATGAATTTATTAACCCTCCTATTTCTTATCTCCTTGTTAAAAGTTTTATTCATCAGAACAATTGGAGGATCAATAACAATATGCCTAGAATTATTTTGGATGAAATTCTAAGCATTCCTATTGGTAAGCAACAGAGGGTGCTCTTGGAAGGCATACCAAATCTGTCCCAGCATTTATTCATGGCCAGCTATTATGAGAATTTAACTGTAGTTTCTTGGCATAAATCTATTTGGTATAAAGGACATGCTATTCGTTTCTCGGTTTATACTTGGATGGCAACTATGGAGAGATTAAAAACAGTTAATTTGTTGTTAAAAAGGAATATTGACATTAATTCCTCTTGCTTTTTTTGCCGTAATGAGATGGAGAATCATAATCATTTATTTTTTGAATGTGATTTCTCATTTTTGGTAATCTCTAATTTACTTCCACATATGGACAAGTTTTTTTACGCCTGTTTTATTGCAACTTCTAAAGTAGTTCGATCTTATACAGGGTTTTTTGGCAAAGAGAAAAAATTCACTACAGGAAAATCACTTATTACCGGCGGAATTTTCCGGCGGCTTTCCGGCTGTCAATTTTTCGGCAGCTTTCCGGCGGATTTCCGGAGGCTTTTTGACGGCTTATTTCCTACAAAATTTTCCGGTGGCTTTCCGACGGATTACCGGCGGCTATCCGACAGCTAATTTTCCACAAAATTTTCCGGCGGCTTTCCGACGGCTTTTCAAGTTTTTCGGCGGAATTTTACAATTTTTTATTAAATGATTTCTAAAAAATGACTAAAAATAATATTAATTTTTTCCTTAATTTAAGTATAAGGATTTAAATTAAAAATTATTATTTAATTTAATAATTTTATA